TGTAGCTTGAAGCAGTAAGATCTGTGTTGCCCGTTTTTGAGTCTTTGTTAACTGGAATATCACAAGGTTAAGTAGTCTTGAAAAACTATATTTGCAAATGTTTATTTTCTAATATTCCCCTCTCAGAATATTCGATAGGGATCATATTTTCCTAGGAGCCCCTGGTGGCACAATGAGTTAAACCCTTGTGTCAGCAAGACTTCTGACCAAAAGGTCGGCAGTTCGAATCTGAGCACCTGTCTGTCAGCTCTAGCTTCACATGCAGATATGAGAGAAGCCTCCCACATCCGGGCGTCCCCTGCACAGCGTCCTTGCAGATGGCCAGTTATCTCACACCAGAAGCAACTTGCAATTTCTCAAGTCACTCCTGACACAATTTTTTAAAGAGATATACTTGCTTTTCAAAACAACAAATTTAAAACTGAGTACAAAGTGTTATAGTGGCTGTATGTTGCAATAACTGAGTCACCAGTGCCAAATGCAGGTATATCCATTGTGGAGACACTCTCAGCCGTGGAAGAAGGCAATGGCAAACCCCCTCAACACATTTTGCCAAGAAAAGCCTCTGGCACGCAACACATAATAAATGCATGGACACAAAGAGTGACTAACAGCTTTGTGTTAACACTGCTGTAAGATACCAGCAGGATTGCAGCCTTTGTTAGCAATTTAGCTGGCCTTCCACATGAAGCATTCACCTTTTTATTCTGTCCTTGAACTTTAATGCCTCCAATGTATAATTACATCCTATGATGGAGGATCCTAGGCTATCTTTTGGATAGCTCTCTCTCACAGAAGAGTAAAATCTCAAATGTGTTTTTGCTTAGTGTTTTCACCTGTTCATCTCCTTATGAGTTTTCTCTTTATGTAGAATATCAGTTTTGCATACCATGCATAATTTAAAAAAACCCAATCCCCATAGGGAATGCACTTGCCCAAGACCACAAAGAATACAGTTAATGTTCCTATTTGGGAATCAAGCCCTGCCAGTTGCTGCATTGCTTCCTTTGGTGGGTGGGGATACCTCTGGACCCAAGAATGTGTTGTGGTAACTGCTCTAGTATGTTAGCTGCCTGACCCGAGATGACAAATCAGAAAATTCCAATTCATAAAATGGAGCTCGCTTGAACCTGAAATTTCCTTGGTTCCTGTCAGAACAAGCCTTGTTGTTTTATATTAATTTGTTTTAAAACATTGTGAAATGTGTTATTTTAAAAAATACGTATTTTCCAGGACGCTAGTAACGTGTTTCTGATTTGGGAAATTATTAAGCACTTCCATTTATAAGCTCTTATACTTCATTTTGTGCAAGGCTACAACACTGACCTTCCTGTCTGCATATGGAGTGCGTAATTAATTGTGATGATGGTGCATGCTCCACAGTGACAAAGGTTTGCAATAAGGGTGGGGCCATGGGCACAATTTTTAAATAAAAGTTAAATAACATTTCTGTACCAAGCACAGCTGGACCACACAGTGTTTATGGACTAATCATCTGCTAAATTCAAACTTATTAAAATTGGAAGCTGTGTAATCTATAAGAGCACAAAGCAATTATAACTACTCCCTTCCTCCTTCAGTCTTGTAACTGAAATGTTGTAATTGATTTCTCTTCCACAGGCACATTCCTTTTCCTTTTTTTTGTTGGAGGGGTGGGGGGTATTAAACATCAGTCAGGGCTGAGACCTCATAAGGCCATATTTCAAGCTGCAGTGAATTTTTATGGCCCTGTTATAAATCCCTGGAAAAATATGCCTTTTTATAATAGCTGTGACAGAACTTTAACTACTGATCCATGAATACCAGCATGGCCATAGTCCAGTTTATTGTAGTTGGAATAGTAAGGCTCTACTGTTGAATAAGTCAATTTCAGTTTTTTCATTTCGGTTTCTGGACCCAGCTTTCTCTTGTTTGTGCAGCACTTCCTTTGAAATTTATTTACTTAAAAATAGTCTGTTAATGCATGTGGCACACCATTCAGTTGAAGGAATGCATATACTAGAAACAGTATGTGTGTAATACACATACACACCTCTTTTGTGGGTAATCTTGATTATACAGAGGAGTCATGTGCGTTTTGGATAATGTGACATTTGAACAATAGTTTAAACAGGATAAAATAATCTAGATCTCCCTTTTTTGGCCTCTCTTCTTCCTACTCCATTACAAAAGAGGATTGTGTTCTTTTTCTAGGAGTGCAGATTTATAATTATATTCAATTGAGTGTTGCATGTATTTCCTAGATTTCCTTGAGAAATAATGACTTAATGTTTTAGGGGCTCTTGGCTCTGGTGCAGCAGTGCCAATACAAGATAGTTTTCTTTACCAGTGCCACCTAAACACCAGCTGTAGAAGGATGTCTTGGCCTTCCAAAACACATTTTGGGGATATTGGAGGGCTGCCAGGAGGAGGAGAGATAACATTCTCCCAACTCAACTGATGGAGGCAGTTCTGTTAGTTGTTAACCCCTCCCCCATTGCATTTAGGCCATGAGTGTATGTGTCTTCAAATTGCCTGTTGATTTATGGAAACTGTTATTTTCATAGGATTTTCTTGGGCTATGCATCAGTACTCAGGGGTGGTCAAGCATTATTCAAGTCTCCCATTCAAGCACGTTACAGAGCTGATCATGCTGAATACTCTAAGTGTACCAAAACAGACAGGTCACGGGAGTTGTACGGAAGGGGCAGAACAAAACCTTACATACAGTAGAGTCTCGTTTATCCAACATAAACAGGCCCGTAGAATGTTGGATAATATGGAGGGATTAAGGAAATGCCTATTAAATGTCAAATTATGTTATGATTTTACAAATTAAGCCCCAAAACATGTTTTGCAACAAATTGACAGAAAAAGCAGTTCAATACACTCTTAACATTATATCGTAATTACTGTATTTACAAATTTAGCACCAAAACATTGCAATGTAATGAAACATTGGGTCCAGGGATTCCTATTTCTCTCACCCTGTGTGGGGAGGGAACTAGAAAATGCCATAAACATAGCTTCAGTATAAACAGTTTTGTTGGTGTAATCCTGGATTTACTTTCTCAGAGTATTTGAGATTGTGTATGAGCTATTTGAAAGAGTTTCCCCCAAATTTGGGGTTCTAAAAGTCTACCATATATAAGAGTCTACCTATATTTTAAAATGGGGTGTACTTGAACACACCTTCTTCAGCATCTCATTGTTCACATCGCCACCATTTAATAGTGAGGGGCTCAATGATCCAGGGTCCCTGGAAATTGCAGGTGACAATTCCATGGATCTAGAGGGCCCACTGTACTTTCCTTTTAGTATGAACTATCAAGGTTAGACCCACAACTATTATAAAATTGAATACTTGTGTAATGAAATAGGTGATTCAGCATTTTTATGGTTTATTTCAGCATTGTTCTATGTGGTCAGATGCAAAAAGGAGCCCAGATCTGTACTCCTGTTAAAGGGCTAGGAGCTGGTTGGTAGCCTTAGTTTTGGGGTCCAGTCCTGAATCTGGATTCAGATCCTAAAATGGTGTTCCCATGTACTTCTGGACAATATTGGCCTGCTTTTTTAATTCACATGTTACACTGGGAAAAAACTAGGAGCAACCTTGGAGGACTGTGATAAAAATGAAAGTAGCAAACCATTTCATTTGATAAAAGCTATGTCTTAAATATAAAATGTAACCAGGAATTTTCTGCTCACCTTTAGAATGGATTCCCTTTTGCAAGATGTGATAAGCCAATGAGAAAATCTGTCTTGGATTTTGAAGTACAAGCCCATTAATTAGGAGATATGTATTGATAATGAGCAGCCAGACAATTCTTCAGACAATCAAGTCTGAGCACACAGTGCTGGCATTTTAAATCTTATGAAATAATCTTGTCTTATTCTTCAGTTCCCCTGTAAGGCAAATACAGTTTCATCTTACTGCAAAGCATCACTGCCAGTTCATGGGGAACACTGCTTGACATTTCATAGAAGCACCATAGATAGTTCCCCTTAATGTAGGTATGCGTGACCTTAGCACAGGTGTACGTCAGTTAACAAAATCAATATGTTTGTGGCATTACATGTTTAAAGAAAATTTTGTAGCAGAAGCAGAAATAACATGGAACGAATGGCATCGGTTTCTAAACCAACTCAATTCCAGAGCAGTTCAACATATTTTGGCAAACTTTTTATTTAAAACTAGCCATATGTACATGTGTAATGAAGTAAGTAAGTCATGTTAAGCTTGCTTAAGTAAACAAAAACATTTTGAAATTTCTAGAGATCACTTGAAGGGCTTATCTTAAATTCACTCAGAGATGACTTTTTCTATAACTAGCCTTTCCCTAGGATTTCCATTTGGTGTCCAAATGACTATATCTATTTTTTTACTGGTGAGGCAGATTTATCTGCCCCATTCCTTCTCGTCATACAGGCTTGGTTAGGAAACAATTGGGGGAGCTGCTGTTTACCTTGCCTCTTCTTGGCAGGCACCCACAGCTACAGTCGAAATATCATTCTTTCCCAGCTCAAGTTTTATTGTGTTTCTTAATATAGATATGCTGCCACCAAAAATCTGTTTCTCCAGCCCTCTTTCACCATGTTTCCAGTGCTGATCTTGAAAAAAAATACCTTTCAAGCTAAACAGATTAGAAGGAGGAAAAAGGTGGTTGGACAAGTGTAAAAAGACTTTGGGGGGAAAAGCTTCTTTATCAGATGTTTTGAAAATAGAGTTATGGCTAAATGTTACATTATAGAGCATTACATTTGTATCAGAAATCTTTACAAAATTATCCAGTTTGAACCTGAAAGAAAAGGTTAATATTGTGTATCATGTGTCTCCTCATGTATTGTCACTGTTGGTCTCTTCTCCCGCTTGATGTTTCCTGTAGATTCCCAGGGTTAGCAAGCATGAAGTGAACCATTTGAGATGTATACCATTCTGGTGGGCAATTGCAGTGTGTGATTTCTGGAAACAAGCCTGGTTTTCAGTGACCACCAATTAACATTTCACTTCCGATTTGCAGGAATTGGGTAGCCTTGGTGCATTAGGTGCAACTTCTGCGCTATGGGAAAGAGAAACAAGAGGACAGCAGATAGTTCGTCCTCTGAAGAGGAGGAGGAATATGTTGTGGAGAAGGTTCTAGACAGGCGTGTTGTGAAGGGTCAAGTGGAGTATCTTCTCAAGTGGAAAGGATTCTCTGAGTAAGTCCAACTTTCCTTCTGGCATGGGCTTTGAACTTTCTTGGTAGCAGTGCTCCAGGCAGAGCTTCAAATTTGACTTCCATTGCCCTCATTCAAGCTTTCCTTTAAGAAAAAAGCCTTCGTGGGTGGGAACTGCTTTCCTCACTCCAGAAAAGAGTGGCGTGCATCCATTTAAATGAGTGGGTCACGAGGTGAGGGCCTGGGATCATAAAGCATCTTTTGGAAATCCTGGCATCTGCGTTCCCTCTCTCACTTCACAGAGTTGGTAGTTCCACTTGAGTTATTCACCAGCACTATCGTCTGAATAGTCTTCCTCCTCATTTTGGGTTTTCCGATTTTTGGGGAGAAGGGGAAATTTGGTCAAAACCTCTGGTGGCCCTTCTTTGGATTATTTTTAAGCTGCTGATTAGAAAAAGGAATGATGACTACATGCCCTCTAAATAGGGCTCTGTTAATATTTCCAAGTATAAAACACAGAATTTGGGAACTGGATGTGAAGCTAAGCATCCTATACAGTTTTGCTTTCATTACAAAAACAACAGCAACAATTTTCTAGCTCTTAAGATTAATCTTTTCTTAATCTTTAAAGTTGTACTAAATCTCAAAGCCAAGAAGGGCCACACAGAATTGTTGGGGATCAAGCTACAGAACTTCACATTTGATGGAGGATTTTCATTTTGTTTATTATTTTTACCATTACCATATCATGCACAGCCCTTCTTAGTTGTCCCAATCCAGAATAGTTGTTCTTTAGTGTTTTTTGTGAACTTGGTTGTCTCTCTGTGTGTGTACATATATATGTACGTATTCTGGATATTTGACCCAATATCTGGCAGATTGCTTTACAAATTCCATAAAGTAAGGCCTGATATGGTATCTACCGTGTTTAAATGGATGCACACTACTTAATTTCAGGAAAGGCAAGTTACAAGCAGGTGCTGTAGCCTTGCCTCGCTGTGCAGTAGTTGAGGGAGCAAGTTTGCATGACCTTCATGAATACCACAGCTTTCTGCACTCCATAAGTTTACAGCATTTTAGTTAATCAAAAGGATTTTATGTCTCCCTAAAAATTTCAAGCCTTGGGTCTATTGGAAGCTATGATATGCTTTTTATTATTAAAAGGGTGATTTGTCCTTGCTTCTCTTTTCAGTCCCCTTATGCTTTTGTACAACCTGTGCTCTCATATATGGGGTACAAACTATCCAGATTGGTCTGCGAATACTTTTTCTGTCTTTCATTTTATTTCGCGTTCTTTCTCACTCTTTGTTTACACTCCCTCTTCTTCTTTATCTCAAAACTGAAAAGAGTCCTCTGAAACTCAAACACTTAACTCATTGCATTTTGATGGTCAGATTGACTCTAATGAAAATAGTTTTACACTACTATTATTTTGAGACACTGTTCTTAGGGCAGCTTCAGTTCAGGAATATGTCCTCTGTGTTTTATCATTCATGCAATTGTGAGTGCAGGAAGTTCTCCTAACCATAATTGATTGTGTGATGATGATGTTTTTACAACTTACTATTGTGAATAATGTTTCTGTTACTGCTAATATTCTTACTGGGAGAAACCCTCTTAATATTAATACTCTTACTGAGAAAATCCCTCTTAAGAAGTAAGCCAAAAAAAGTAGGGCTAAAGAGGTGTTTCAAATGCCAAAATATTAGGAGTCATGTTTAAAAGGATCAAGCCAATGTAAAAGGGTCACAAGACCAGATAACACTATTTTCAGCAACTTTATGAAACATTTAGAGACCCTCTTTACTCGGGAGTTCTTCCTGCCATTATAATAACTACCCCTAGTTTACAATGAAATTGTGTTAAGTCACTCAGATTTTTTTTAAAAAAACTATTGGTGGTAGAGTATAGGATAACTAGAACCAACCACACTGGCTTTGTCTTACATGGAAGCTTGGAACAGTTCTTTCTTTACTCTCATCTGTGTGCATGACAAAAGTTCAGTCACTTCTTTGTTGATGCCTTTTACCATTGGATGGGAAGATTTTCAACCTTTCTTCTGTTTCTTATTTCCCACCCCATTGTTGCCCCTTTTTGTTGTGTCAGGGAGCACAACACTTGGGAACCTGAGAAGAATCTTGACTGCCCTGAACTGATTTCTGAGTTTATGAAAAAATATAAAAAAATGAAGGAAGGTGAAAACAAGCCCCGGGAGAAATCAGAGGGTGCCAAGAGGAAGTCAAGCCTTGCCAACAATGATGACATCAAAGCCAAAAAAAAGAGAGAGGTGAGTTTCTGTTAACTAGTACTTAAGATCTTTCTTTGACACCCCCTTCAATAAGCCCTTTTTTCTTCAGCAAATAAAAAGTATCAGTAAATATATGATAGTGGCACACGTTTTTTCACATTTGCATTGCTTATACAATTTTTAAAATATAATGGGAGCTGGGCTTCATGTGTACTCACTTTCACATCTCTGTCAGTGAAAACTACCTTGTAAATTAAGGCAAGCTAATTGTCACCATTCACGGCAAAGTAAAGAATCACTAAAATAATTATGGGCGTTAAAATATCATAAAGATTAACAATGAATCTGGGAGTCTCTCAGTATTATCTAGAGCAGATTAGGATATGAAGAAATACAATTTACTTTTTTCCTTTAAAGGAATTCCCTGTCATTGTTTTGTTTTCAAGAAGTAAATTACAACAAGAATCCTAAAAATGTGCTGATCCTGGAACTCACTCTTTTTGCTAATTTTCAAAGAGATAGCCATGTCAGAGTTTTGGTTTTTTAGCATAGCAAGAGGAGACATGGGAGGAGAGTCCAGTGACTAACTATTCAGTTCCTCAGTTATATTGATGTAGAACAGTGACTCCCAACCTGTGGTCTGTGGACCACCAGTGGTCCGCAAGAACTAAAATATGGTCTGTGGCCTCACCGTTACTACATGGTTTTCTGTTGGTTTTCTGTGGGCAAGCAGATGGCGATTACTGGGTGGCATATGGTCTATATCAGAAACTAGAGCTGATGTGGTCTATCCAATACAAATTTCTGAATCAGCACCCCAAATAACCAAACTGAATATAAAGTTGACCAAAAACTGATTAGTAACCCTATTGGTACTAAGGTTGGAGAGTGGTCCCTGGTCAAAAAAAAGGTTGGGAACCACTGATGTAGAGTGTGCAAACATCAGTTGTCAAGTTATGGTTGAATACGCATAGGAGTAGGATTACAGTGAAATGAGACAAAAGTTGTCTTGTCAGTTACAAATTTTCGAAGAGCTGGTCTAGTATAAACATTCTGGTAATTGTGCAAAAGTAATACATTGTTCTGTCAGGCAAATTACTGATTCAGTTGAAGGTGCGAAGTCTTTTCTCAAAAATTATTTTGGAGATTTCCAATGTACCTTTGAAATTCCTTTGTTCCCTAACAGTCTATTTGAGGTCTGTGGGGAGAGAGCAGCAGAGAGAGATATCCTGCATCAAATCTAGAAGCTCCCAAGTTCCTTGTAAGGCAGTAGTTCTCAACCTTTGGGTCCCCAGATGTTTTGGCCTTCAACTCCCAGAAATCCAGCTGGTAAACTGGCTGGGATTTCTGGGAGTTGTAGGCCAAAATACCTGGGGAGCCACAGGTTGAGAACCGCTGTTGTAAGGAATGCTACAAAAGCCCGTTCCATACAGCTAAATAAAATTGCACATTATCTGCTTTGAACTGGGATATGTGGAAGTGTGGACTCAGATAACCTAGTTCAAAGCAGATGTTGTGGGTTATTCTGCCTTTATATTCTGGGTTATAGGGCTGTGTGGAAGGGCCCATAGTCTTCTCCAAGGGTGCAGTAAGAGAAGACAGGCCTTATTTATGAGACATTACTCCATGTTAGAAAACCTCCATCTGCTTTGAGCTTAGCATGTTATGCTATAGGAAATGGATTTGTGCAGTAATTCTTTGTCATTCACATAGAAAAGCCACATGGCCTTATAATTAAGCCTGTGTGTATTTTACTAAAAAGATCAATATCCTTTTACCTGTGTAAACAATGATCACATAGTTCCCCCATTCCCAACCATTGCTTTTACTAATGGTAGAGCTGGTTGTCAGGAAGATACGGAAGGTGGTAAAATGCTATTCCCTGCATTCTTCCTACTTCTGAGATTTTACAAGGAATTCTACACTTGCTTTCATCCTATATTTGCAATCTTATGAAACAGAAGCTTAAATAAAGCCAAGATGCTGGGGAAGCTGATTTCTGCCCCACCATGCAATCTCAGAATGACAAAATACATATACTTCTGTATATGACGCTGTAAAGACACCGTTCTTGCCGACTACATTCTATATATTAGAAGTATTGTGAAGGTCAAATGTATTACCGTGTTTAAAAACTTAATGACATTTCTCTCTTTTTATATTTTAATTTGCCATATTCACTAGCAAATGCATGAGGAGACATGAGAACATGGGTTATTAAAACACATCTTTATAGGAGAATGTGAACATATGAAACTCTGTATAAATGAGGATCTGTTGAGTGACATTTTATGTCCTGCCTTCCCTTTCCTAGAGGAGAGAAATCTCCTGCAGTTCTATGTGTTCGTTATTTTTTATAACCTTATTTGAAGAAATGCCCTGCCCTTTACAGCTGTGTCTGTACAAAATTATGGCCAAGTCACTGGAGATTCAAACCTGCATTGCTATAGTCAGCCCTTAATGAAATCATAAGGGGTAATAAGGTCATATATTTCATATCCAGCAGGTTATCCTTAGTGCGTTTGGATTACAGTTTTATAACCCATTATGTATTCTCCTTAAAGTTTGGGAAGTAAAACTGTCCACTGTGAAAATGAGTGGCTTGGTTCCTCCTGAAACATCCTAGCTCCTTGGGCATCTTAACTTACTGTGATTTCCTTTTGGACATGGTGCTTTCAGATCTTTGGTGTTAGAACTGTAACCAGTGCTTAATGTTACATCGGTATCCATGGTTTAACTTCAGAGGTTTAATAGTTCTTATGGTTTGCAGCATTCAGTCAAGTTACAGTTTAGACTTAGATTGTATTTAAGCAGTTGGAATGATAAGATAGTAGGAGCAGCAAGTTGTTTATCCGTGATTGGGAGTATTTCGGAGTGCCCCACTCTTTGTAGATTCTATGCCCATAGACAGGTACAGGTTGGGTATCCCTTATTAGAAATGCTTAGGGTCAGAGATATTTTGGATTTTGTTTTATTTTGAAATACTTGTATTTGCATATATACATATACATAACGGTTGATGACCAGCACCAAAAAATGAATAAAAATTGTATTCATATATATGCACATAATGACATATCTTGGAGATGGAACTCAAGTCTAAACATGAAATTCATTTATACACCATATACACATGTTAATTTTATACAATATTTTAATTATTTTGAGCATGAAACAAAGTTCACATATATAGAACTGTCAGAAAGCAAAAGTGTTACTATTTCCGCCTTCCATGTGCATGATTTTGGAGTAATTTGGATTTTTTATGCCAGTTAAGGACTGCTCACCTTTTATATCACAGAGTAATTTTCCCTATCTTGGCATCTTCCTGGATTTATGGACTACACCAGTGATTCCTATGGTGTTTGGGGTGGATTGGGGTTGTAATCCAAAACATCTGGAGAATATAATACTGTGGAAATGTTCACTAGGGGATACTGGACATTTCTGGAGTGTCGGGAGTAGTCTGCTTCCATTCTCTGATTACTTCTTCTGCAGGTGATAAGAAGTGAATAACACAGATGCATTAAAAAGATTGATATCGTCAAGATTTCTAGTAATTTGAAACATGAAAGTCACGATGTTTTTAAAAGAAACTAGAGGCTGGCTTTAGCATATCTGAGGGGAGAATTTAAGACATAAAAACAAGAGGAATTTATTGATCTAGAAGTATAGAGGGTTAAATAACACGTGCATAAATTCTGTGAGTATCAGTGATGGAAACCAAGGGGGTGAGTTGCACTGTGGGCAGGTTGGGGGGCAACTGCATTGTGGGTGGCAGGATGTTTATGTATATGGATGTGTACATGTTTGTAATGTCTGTTGTGAGTTTGTTACATTTATACACACACACACACATTAATTTTTTAAAAAGATTGAAATTTTTCAACTTGTACAAAAATGTCCAGCAGGTTGGTGTTGCCATGAAGGAATGGCTGCTGTAGCTACAGTAAAACACATCAGTCATTTGGACTGCTAATCTCAGAATTGCCCCAGGATCCTAGGAGTTGCAGTCCAAAAAGTAACTTTTTCAATTGCCAGTATTACAAGAAAGGAAAAAGGCACAATGAGCTGTCTTATTGGCACACTAGTTATGCCTTTTTCTCCTGCTGTGATGACCTTGCCACCTGACAGTGCAATAACTCAGTTTTCCTGCTTTCCTCATAAAACTCTGTCCGGTTGCTTCTGGTACAGCTTTAGCTCATAGGCAGATATGTTGTAATGAGAAACCTAGGCTGGAGCTTCCTTGCCAGAAAGAAGGAGTGGGGGTAATCATTAAAAACAAATCAAGACACAAGACTACATTTCAGAAGCCTGGGGTGAAACTCCGAAAACATTACTTTTTAAAATTGGTTTGTTTCTATTACTTGTTGCAATGTTTGAAAGGTAACCTATTACTATATGCCATACTGACTCTGTTACTTATCACTTATAATACTTTTGAAAGATAACTACTCCTGTAACTAATTTCAATCGAGAAGACACTGTTGGCAATTTATTATATCCAAAGTCTGATTGAGGCCAAGTATCTTGTGTTAACCACAGCTATAACATTGCTCTTGAAGTAAAAGGCGAGGGCAGTGAGTGGGAGGCAGGCATGTAGCTGTGGGGTGGGGGTGGGGGTGGGGGCTTGGGGGGCTTCAGCCCCCCCCCCCCCCCCCCCGAAATTCTCATGGTGGTCCGCGAGAAGGCCTTACTGGTACATTATTTAAACTGTTGTTTATTCATATCATGATCTGATCACCATGCTCAATATATCCCATATGCATGGGGGTATTGGGGTAATGATACAAAAGGTTTGCTAGGGTAGACCCTCTTTCACTCAGACTCAGCCCCCTCCGAATCAAACTCAGCTCCCCCCGAAACAAAATCTTGGCTACGGGCTTGGTGGGAGGGTAAGCTAAGCATCTCTGGAATTCCCGTAGCATTACTGCTGTGCCTTCCCTTTTGTCCACGCTATTCTTATCTTTCTTAGTGTCCAATGAAGTCTGGAGTAAGCCTGGCAGCAGAACAAACCCCTTCCCTCTTTGCTGCAGTAT